CTAATTTTGAAATTTTTTGTTTAGTCTTGTCAAAATAAGGCTTTAAATCTATCGAATTTTTTACAGTTTTAATACTGAAAATTGAAAAAAAAAATTATTACTATTGGTGACAATATTCTAATTCCATTTTGATGTCTAGTACTCCGTCACTTGGAGTATTTATTTTTGTCCTATTTCAGGCTTGAGACAGGTGATTCAGCAAATTTTTTCGATTTTCAGGCTGATTAATTGTGAACCGAGAGTGTAAATTTGACTATGTTACATTTACGCTCTCATAAATTAGCAACAGATGTTTAAAACCCAATTTCACTTACTGAAAACTGAAAAAATGTTTTTTAAGTTTTTTCATCTCACTTTATTGTAATGTAGTGTTTGTTTCTCTAACGTCAAAACCATCTTGTTAGGAAGATGGAATGTTTTCTTGATTGTTCTCTTCCTTTCCTGAAGGACCTTTTTGCGACACTCTAGACAACCTTATTCGCATCACAATACTCATTGTTACACTAAACGGAAAATTCGAAAAAGTTTCTGTTTTATTTTTAGTTTATCATTTTATCGGATTACTGGAACATTGCTCGGAATGTATTTGTTTATGTAAAAGAGTGACATAACTGTTTATTATTGAAACATTGTTTGCCTGAAATGACATTTAAATTGTGCACTAGTAAAAATCTGAAAGCTTTTCAAGCGACTGAATAAAATTTTTAATTAAAATGCAGATGCTTACCGTTTTCAGGTCCTCAAACCCACCCAAAAATAACCGTCCACATCGCACAAGTCGAAAATAAGTTTCGTGAAACGCGCGCTTTGGTGCTCGAAACCCCGAAGCGTCGAATCTGGACGCCAATGTGGACTGAAGTCGACGTCGAGCGTCCAAAACTACACACAGCTTCAGACGCGCTTGCGTTCTCGACAAGAATTTTACACTTTGAATAAGTTAACATGAAAACTTTACTGCTCGCTCATACATTTATCGACAACATAAATATTTCATCTCCTGAAATAAACGTAAGCTTTGTTGCATTCTTTAATTCACTGAAATTTTCTTGAAAATTATTGATATTTTAGCCCACGACACTGAAAATCACATTTTCGTCAAGTTGCGTGCGATGGGAGTTAAGTGTGAAAGTTTTTGACAATTTTTCAGGTCTAGAGAAGCGTATGCTCCCAGGGGGTCCTCTATCACCAAATCGAAAGGTTGAAACTCCACCAAAATGAATTATTTTTTTCTTTGAGGTTTTTCTCATTTTTTTATAAGTTGAGTCGAGTCGGGGAAACAATGCAGATGTTTCAATTAAGATATCGCTGACTAAGAGACTCGATCGGTTTTCTTTGAAGTACAAAAACAGAATTCCGACTCGAGTTAAATGTATTTATAGTCTGAAAAGTTAACTTTGAATCAGGAGCAGGTCCTGAAAATTAATGGAATAATCGAACTTTTTTTCATTATTTGTTTAGCAGAATTTTGATATAGATTATACGAGAGCTTTTTTGTAGCATTAGTCGTTATTATTTCTTTTTGAACTTTGTTGGTAGATTGTCTTATTTCTTGAACATTTTCTTCAATTAACGCAACTGTAAAAAAAGCTTAGAAGCTTTATTTGGATTACTTTTTTTCGTCGTTAAGTTTTATTTTACAAAATCACTGCAAAAAGCACAAAATTAAGCTTAAAGTGTGCGATTTTTTTCTTCCTTCTTTAACGTTGAAATTTTAGTTTGTGATGGTATTTTTTCATGTTTCATTTTTTTGAAATATTTTTTATCCAAATTAGATCTTATTTCAAGAAATATTGTAGATTTTATGCCAAAAATTACAAAAATAACAAATTTCAGGCGTGACTTTACAATTTTTTACTCTGTTATTATAGTTTTTTAACTTTGTTAATTTCTTACTAAACTCATAAAAAATACGTATTTTTGCTTCAATATAGCGTTTTTCTATCTTTTTTTTTTCAAAAAAGGTTTAAATAATTTATGAAAATAGACAAAAATAACGCATTTTAGTCAAATTTTTACAATTTTTTGTCTTATTTTGGCAAAAAACTTTTAAAATTTATAAAAATTAGGCATTTCAGACTTCATTTTGCAATTTTTTGTTTGGTTTTGTCAAAATTTTTCAAATGATGAGAGTTTACTAATGAAAAACGCACTAAATCTATCAAAAAAAAAAAAAATAAAAAATAGTCTACCTCAAATTTAATTGACAATTCTCGACTGTACATAAAAAATATTTTTGTCTTGATAAAAATTTTTTAGATTTATAAAAAACGAACAAACTACTACAAATTTTCAAGCGTAATTTACAATTATTTGATTCTGTTTTTAAAAAAAAATCAGTAAATTTATGCTCTAATTTTGCTGTTTTTCCTACCTTTTTTTTTCAAAAAACACTTAAATTAAATCAAAATAACGCATTTTGTTCAAATTTTTTGATTAGTTTAGACAAAATTTACGCAATCAGAGAGTTTCTCGGTAAAAAACTTTCTTAAATTTATAGAAAATAACGCATTTCAGATCAAATTTTGTAAATTTTTGCTTTGTTTTGACAAAAAAACTTTTTAAATTTATACTAAATAATGTATTTTAAACCTAATTTTAAAATTTTGAGTTTATTAATAATTGAAATAAAATAAATAAATAAATCTATCAAAACAGATAAAAAAATCCACCTTAAATTTAATTTTACAATTCTTGACTGGATTTATATTTTTGTTAGTTTCTCGGTAAAAAAGCTTTAGATTTATAAAAACTACAAACTACGAATTGTGCAGTTTTTTAACAGTTTTTTTTTGCATCAGTAAATTTATAGAGAATACTTATTTATGCTCTAATTTCGTTTTTTCTTCTACCTTCTTTTTGCAAAAAACGCTTAAATTTATTTAACTAGACGAAAATAACGTTAATAATGATTTGTTTAAACAAAATTTACCAAATCGGAGAGTTTCTTGGTGAAAAACCTTTTTAAATTTACAGAAATTTTGAAATTTTTTGTTTAGTTTTGTCAAATTTTTTTAAATGTTGTTAGTTTACTAATAAAAATAAAAG